CTAACAGAAACCTCATCATTACCTACACACAAACTGTACTTTCTCACCTCTGCTCATGCATTTCAGCAGGCCCAGACTGCTGGCCCTTTTTCATAACAGATTATGCTTTCTTAGTCAGTTGGTTTAAGAAAAAACTTTCCCAAGTTCCTGCCTTTGTATTTTTCACCCTAGACAGACAGCACACTCAAGTCTAAGAAGTCAATGCATAAATCTTTATAGACTAATGGTTAATGCTAAGTAATAATCCCTAAATATTTGCCAAGTTAACTGATTACTTAACTTCTTACAGCTGAAATTCCATACATCTGTAAAATGGTTCAAATACCATTTCTACCAAGAAAGAAAGCGGCTAAAGGAACTAAGTGGGTTTAGCTTAGAGAAGAAAAGCAATTCCCCATTTTGGTCATAATCTCCTCTACTATTTCCACTACATTACTTTTCTACCACTGCAAGACCCAGCTATCCTGACTCCTGTTTTTTTCTCAGTCTATCAATTCCTTCCAAGCATCACTTCTCTTTTCACCAAATAGTCAAACACTGTCACCAAATTCCTTCAATTTCTTTTTTTCCCCAGTTGCACTTTAATTCTGAATCATTCAATGAAAAGTTTTCTCCATTTCTCTTTCAAGTGAAAATGTTTGTAATACTAGTCTGACTGGAATTTTAAACATGATTTTAATAATAACAACAGCTAACACTTAATGGGCACTAATGTGTAGGAACGATGTCCTCCGGATAATCCAATACTGTTACAAGAAACAAAGAAGATCTAATTAACTTGTCCAACTTTAACACATAAAAAGAGGTAAAACTGCAATTTGAACTAAGGCCATCTGCTTCCAGAGCTCTAACATGCAGCCACTGAGCTACAGTGCTTCCCAGCTGCAAAGCAACACCACCATTCACACTCAGATGGATCAAATGCGCCTTTCCTGTCCAACCACTTTGCCCAATTTTGATCCATCTCATTTATTCAAAAACATATTCAGTCATTTAACAAATGAGTTCTTCCCACACTCAACTCACTCACTAAGACCAAGAGTAAAAACAAGACCTTGCCTTCTCCTTAAATCCTCAAACCCCTCATTCTCAACAAACAAAATATTTAATAACACATACTGTTTAATAATATATAAGCCCTTCACATATATTGATTCATTTAAATCTACAAAACAACCAACATTATTACTATTATTATTATCCAGATTCTGCGCATAAGAAAACTGCAGCATGGTTATGTAATGTATTCGAGGTTATATGGTTAGCAAGTAACAGAGGGAAAAGTTTTCAATTAGCAATAATCACACCTTGGATAAACCTCATTGACTACAATTCTGCCACTACACAAAGCTATAAATGACAGAGGCACGAATTAAAATCACTCTAGTACTGTATTAGAGTACAAGCCCTTAACCACTTTGTTAGAATGCCATCAAAGTCACAGACACTCCATTAGTCTGGATCCCTAAGCTCCTCAACCCTGCACCTACAACATAATCTATAGCTATTCATTCAACACTGGCTTTAAACCAGGCCTGGTGGCACAGCCCTCAGGAGGCTGAGGCAAGAGGATTTCAAAAGTTTGAGGCCAGCCTGGGCTACACATTGAGTTCAAGGTCAGCCTAAACTATGTAGCAAGACCATGTCTCAAAACAAACAAACAAACAAAAAAACAGTTAAGGTGGACTGTCAACTCAATTGGCTTCATAGCCACCTCAGGGATTAGTAAAGCACACTTCTGTGTCTGGATAGGTAATGGAAGTTTGACCTTGGGGTTTATCTCCAGTCACTGACCCCTTCCTTTCTGTTGTTGTTTCCCTGCTCTGCTTCCTGGCTGCCATGAACTAAGTAGCATTACTCTGCTATACCCTGCTGCCATGATGTTTGTGCTTTGCAGCCAGCTGACCAAGGACTGAATCCTCTGAAACACTTTGTCCTTTATGCTACGTACATCAGGTATTTGGTCCCTGTGAAAAGCTGACCAACATACTGGCTGATAATTGATTTGCCATGTTTTTGATCCTTGAACACATCAAGCTTGTTCCCTCCCCAGGGCTTTTATAATTTCTTAAAACACTCTTCCTCTAGATCCGCCTCCCCCTCACTATATCTCAACATCCAAAGAGACCTTTTCTGACCACGATACTGAATATCTCATATCTACAAACATTCTTCACATGAAATTGGTCATATTTCTTTTATAGTTACTTATCACTAGCAGAAATTACCAGTTGTCTTTTTCTCCCACAACAGTGTAAGTTCCAAGACAATAGAGACCTGGTCTACTGAACTCACTGCTATGTTTTCAGCACCTACAACAGTTCAGTCACACAACAGTTTACAGAGTGAATAAAATATGCTAGATATTAAGATTATCAAATGGATACAGTTCCTGCCCTCAATAAATTCCCAATCTATAGAATCATAAATATTGACATCCTCCTCCCTTTTTATAAAAAAGGAAGACAAGCCTCTTTTTCCAACACTAACTTTAACACCTGTCATCTTAAATCTGTTCCTGAGATAGTCAATTGACCTCTATCAATTATTCCCCTCTCAATTCTTTTCTCTCTCCTTTGACATTTACTTTCTCATATTTGAACGCCGTATCTATCCTCCCATAATTACACATCCTTCCAGCAACCCTCAATCTTCCTCCAGGTGATCCCATCCCTCTACTAGGACCACATCCTTAAAAGTTATCATAGGCCTAAAAACTGTTCTCATTCTGCTCAGTACTTCAAACTTGTAAGAACTTTCAATCTACTTTCCTGGGACCAGAAGTGCTACTATGTCATGGTTCTCTTGATTTTTTTCATCTCTTTTTACATTTTCCTTCATTGTCTCCTTTCACACCTTTAAATTTGAGGCTCACTAGAGCGTCATCCTCAATTCTTGCTCCATTCTCTATCTCTTCTCCTCTAACTCAACGAGTGCCCTATACAAAAAATTGTAGCCTAAATTCCAGCTCTTCTTTCTGTATCATCTTTAATAAGAAGTGTGACTGAATTCTTAATCAAGTCTTCAGTAAAGAGTATTTGCAGGTTAAAACTTAGAAAAAATAATGTTAACTGTAATAAATAATAATGTTGTGAACAACTGTTTTCCATGGATGCTTTTTGAAATACTTGAACCAGTTCCCTATTACTGTTCATTGACAATTTTATAAAAATGAACCAAAGATTAAAGCATCACAAATTTTATGTATATGCTTAACCTATATTAATTTTGTCTAATACTACTGATCAGCTCTTAATACATTTTATTGCAGAGTAAAGTAGTAGAAAGTGAAGATAAGAATATAGCATTCACTGATTATTGCACAAGTCTTGGAGATAACATACAAGTCTTGGAGATAACATACAAAGTAATATAAAATCTTTGAGAAGGGTTTCTACAGATATACTTACAGTGCAATAATTTACTGACTCACCATTTAAAATTATACCTAATTATCAGAGCAAATTCTCTACTGTGGTTTTGTGCCATTTTCAAAAACACTAGCAAGGCACAGACTTGTATTACTCTGGCCTTCAGCTTAGATAGTAAGGAGCAGCTACACATTTATGTCAATATGATAAACTGCTTATTCTCCCAATCCTGGAAACAATTATAGATATGAAAAGACTGCTTTAACCAGAAAAAGTGTGAACAAAGCCCCATCTTTATAACTCTCCCAATTGATAAACCACAATGCACGCTGATAAACTACGAATACCTGACTTACAGCCTAGCCCCTTTTGCAATGGGAGAAAAAGACATCTGGCTATTGCCCATTCTGCAAATACAACAAACTATTTTACTAATTTGACAAAAATCTAACTATGTTTTCTTCATGTACTGCAAGAAACTGTGGGAAGAGATGAAGACAACTCCCAATTACTACTGTCAAAGCTGGTGAAACAAGTCAGTCACCATCCTTCAGGGTATGTGGCATGTAAGGGCAAGGAAAAGAAAACAATAGGAGAGCCCTCAGCAAAAAGAAAAAAAAAAAAGAAAGAAAGAAAGAAAAAAAAAAAAGCACCCACATTTTGAGAAAAAGAAAACGAAACTGACTTAGCATCTACATCAAGAAAACTAAAGTTGCACCCAGCACAAATGAAAGCAATCTTGGAGCTACTCAAATGTTCCAACTGGTGCCAGTTAAACACTATACCAGCTGTCATATTTTGAAGTTTCTTCAGCTTTTCCTTTTCCCCTACAAAACCCTGTCTGATTCTAAAGCCTATAAGTAACAGAGGAAATAGAACAGAAGATAATACGAAATGGCCGATGGGTCATCAGAACACAAATCAGAACACAAGAGCAGCTGGAAGCACATTTCTAGAAGGCCAAAAGGCCCAGTTTGAAAGTACAGCTCTTAAAAAAATCTCTGGGATACTTTTCACATCTACAGAAATTTCCATCCGCATCCCTTATTCATAAACCTCTTAAAATGCAACCTCTAGCCTAGTAATCAAAAACTCGTCATAAAATATGACTCTATCTTATATCACTGCTCCCCTTAGTGAAAGGCAGATCTCTTTTATGGAGGTGGCAAGGAGAAGAAGGAATGTCATGGCCGGGGAAGGGGGGGCACAAATAACACTGCCGCAGACACTGGGAACAGAACGCCACTTCCTTCACCACTCTTGCAAATTTTCTTCTTGTAACGTCGTTACCCTTTCTATCCATGCCTCCTTCTTGCTCAACAATACACACACACGTGTCATAACCGACAACCACCATCCCTATTTCCAGCCTCACACGCAATGTTCTCATCCTCCCTAACCACACACACACACACACACACACACACACACACACACCGCTGCAGAAAACGCAGGCAACTCATCCTCCTTGTATGTCGGCTCAGTGCTTCTACCACCAGCATTAAGAGCTGAGTGGAAGACAGCTAGGAACACACGCAGGTACACACACGCGCGCGCCCGACACAAGGATGCACACACACGGGTGCACACGCGGCATGTGGCGCAGGGAAGGGCACCCTAGGGACGCACCTGGAGGCCGGGTGTCCAGCGCTGCCGCCCCCCTGGTCCCTGTCGCTGAGCGCCGCGGTGTAGATCCTCCGGTAGCGGTCGGCCAGCGCCCGGCCGGACAGCAGCAGCTGGTAGTGACCCCGCGAGTCCGCGGCGGGCAGCCCCAGCCCCAGCCCCAGCCCCGCGGCCGCCACGGAGCCCTCAGGGGCCGGCATGAACAGCGCCCCCGGCGCCGGGGAGGAAGACACAGTGGCGGCGGGGAAGAAGGCGTCCGCGCCGGGCCCCGCGGAGACCGCGGCGGGGGAGGCAGTCGCTGCGCACATCATCCTCCTCCTCCTCGCCACCGCCGCCGCCTCGTCCCCGTGGGCCGGGCGGGCAGACACGCGCGCTCGCAGCCCTGTCCAACGACGACGGCTCCGCGGCGGCCTCAGGGACACTACAAAGACAGTGACCTCCTCCTTCTCCTCCTCCTTCTCCTCCTCCCCGCCGCGCCGCCCTCACCGCTACCGGGGCCGCTCATCTAACCCCGCCACCCGGGGAGTGTGAGGAGGAGGCGGTGCCGCCACCAACGCCACCACCACAGCCTCCGCCGGGGCTGCCCGCAATGGGAAGCGGCCGGCAGCAATGAGCATGCGCCACGCCTAGCGCATGCTCAGTGACCCGAGCCCGCTCCCGGCCCACCCCACCCCCTCTCTGCCACCGCCCCCCGCCCCCCTCCCGCGCAGCCTCCGGGCTTTGGGTGTGGAGTGGAGAGTTGGTGCGGAATCTACAGAAAATCCACTTCTCCGGGTTTTACTAGCAGCATGAGGAAGAGTAAGGAGGGTGGGCTGGGTAGCTGTCAGGTAATGGGGTTCCCTCCACATGGGAGATGCGGAACCTGGACAAGAGAATGTGCCCTTGGCCAGAGGACAAAGTGCCAAGCTGTCTTGCCACCTTTCCATGTGTGCGTGCTGCCACAAGATTTACTACGCATAGGGCTGGTTTGTTCAGAATTCATGGGAGTGGAGACCCTCCGAATTAAAAGCTCCTTTGGCAATTTTTAATTTTTTGGAATTTTTGTCGTTGGGACCTAAATCTCTTTAAAAATAGTGGTCAAAATGGCATATCTTTTTTCTGCCTAGACTTACATTATTCAAAATGATTCTTGAATATGGCTTGAAACTGTAACCGTGGCTAAGATCATACAACATGCAAAAGTCAGCTCTATCAATGCTACTATCATTATTATCTGTAAAGTGCAGCATTAGCTGAGTTCTTTTCCAAGGTATTCTGATAACTCTAAGTAAATGCTCTGAAAACAAATGCCCATGTCCCCGGTTCCTAAAGTTTTTCTTTTCTTTTTCACTCTCAATTTGAAGAGTTTGCCTAATTTACAGTCCTGACAGAATTAGTTTAAGTCCTGGCATTCCAGTACTATGTTTTTTCTACTTACTATTTCTTTTTCTGTTTTTTCTTTCATTGGGTTTCTTTTAAAAATGAAAAAGTCTTAAGAGTACACACAAGCATTGGGGATGAAAACAGATTCTAATTTGGAGGGAAAAGGATGAGAAGAGTTATCTGAAACTTTAAATGATAAATGCATATCAGTTCAGTTTTTTAAAAAGAAAAAAAAAAAGACAAAAAAAAAAAAAAAAAAAAAAAAGGTCTGGGAA